CACGCCTGCGGTCAGCACCGCGGACAGCTCCCGGGCGGGCGGGCTGGCGGCCAAGGGGCAGCGCGGGTGGGGGTGTGGAATGGACGCCCCGAGGGCGAACGGGACCCCGGTAGGTCCGCTTATCGGGCCGACTCTTCCACGAACCTACTAGGAGCCGCTTGCGATGGCCTCACATAGGCTGTTCTGTGTCCCCAGGTCCCCAATGTCTTAAGGAAAGGCGGCTGGGTGACAGGGGCTCTGGAGGGACTGCCACAGCGCGGGCGGGAATAACGTGTGCGGCGGTCCCCGATGGGAAATGTGGGGTAAGGGGGCCAGAGAGCAGGGGAGCAGGGTCAGTGGAAGGGCCCGGAGGTCATCTACCCAGAGACCCGGGCGGGGTGAGGCCCAGTCGTGCGGAGGAGGACGTGGGTCTGTGAGCTCCTTGTGCTTCTCCGGCCCCCAGCCTCGGCAGGGACATCTGTTACATTGTCTGACAGGAGCAGGGCCCAGAGTCGATGTTCATAAGATGAATAATGGATGCCCAGGCGCCTCATTAAGACAGCTTTTGCTGAGATGGGATCTGCGGATGCATTAATTAATAGAATTAACGCCTCTTCCAGTCCCCTTTAAGACGAACTCACGTCCCGCCAGTCCCAGAGCGAGGAAGCCAGGGCGTCGCTCCTTCAAAAGACACGACCAGACCTTTGTTACGAGCAATAAAAGCTCCCGTGTTTTATCGCCAAAGCAATGCGTGCTCACTTAAAAAAATCAAGCAACAGACAGAGTCCCCTTGCCATCCACTACCCCCACCCCGCCAAGCTACTGGGCGACCACTTTCAAAGCGAGCATGCAGTTCTGCGGGTGGGTCGATCCCTCCGACGCACGCGGCTGGCAGACGCCCTTCGCTGCCCGCAGGCGCCGACCCTCCTCATGCTGCTTCACAGCTGCCTCCCACGCCCCGCAACGACGCTCCCACAATTTGCCTATTTCCCCTCGGGTGGGTGTTCGATGCCTTCGAGTTTTGCCATTTTGAATCCTGTCGAAGGAACGTCCTCGTGCGTAGACGCTTGTGTGCACGTATCTCTTGAAAGAGAAATTCTTAGAAAAGAAATTGCTGAGTCACGAGGTATGTACATGTTAAGCTCTGACAAAGAACCAATGGCCGAACCGGCATCCGAAAATATCGTGCAAGCTCACCCTCACCCCCGAGCTGCAGGCACCCTCTCCAGAACTGAGAAATGCCCGTCGTTTTAAAATTCTGTCAGTCTTACGTGGAAACAAAAATCTCGATGTGTAAGCATGTGCCTCCTTTATCATCCTGAGGCTGTGTCTCTCATGCTCGTTACCACCCGCGATCTGTCATCTGTGAATTGCACATTCAGTCTGTAGCAGCTTCTGAGTGTGCGGTGAAGACGAGGCACAGGTCTGTGACAGCAGCCCTTCTCTTGGAGGATACACTCAGGGTTCTACTGTTGGCACCCCAATTCAACCAAAGGGAGCCCACCAAGGAAAGTCAGACCCCACACAACCGAGACAAGGGTGGAAATCCCATCCGTCCATGAGCGAGAGGGCTGACTACTTTGAACACGTCTAGGGGTGCTACTTGAGGGTTTGGCCAACATAAAAGTGACCTTGACAAGTGAGCAGAATGTGACCAATGGAAAAACTATGGAGTAAATTGGAAAGGTTAGTAAATATCCCCCATCTCAAAAAGGCACAAGACTCTGCATCTTTAAAGATAGGTCCTATTTAACCTTTGAAATCAGGGAGTTCCCCGTTACTGACTGAAATCATTCCAATCTATGAAAAAACACGGAAAACTCCAAAGTTCTTTTTTTTTAAAGTCAGCATTATGTCAGCACTGAGGCTTTATTAGAATAATCCCTTGGCGATGTCTCAGGCTGAAGAAAGGAGACCAAGTCTGTTCCCACGTTCCCCAGGGTTGCTGTGACCCAGGAGAGCGAATTATCTCGGGCGAGGCAGCTGCGTTGGCAGACAGCAATGTCTAGAGCCGGTCATTGTTGTGTCCAGGAGCAGCCAACACTTCCGGCAGCTGGAGGAGGGAGTGCGTCTCCCCTTCCAGAATCAAAAACATTTATGACTTTGTTTGCGTAAGTTTAGGTGAGGCCGACCCTTCGAAGCGAGACAGGAAGTCTGAGACGGAAAGATTCAACCGTGTAAAAATGTAAAATCCTTGATGGCAAAATAAAAATGTATCAGAGTCAAAAGACAAACAACAGATGACGAGAAAACATCCGCGACCCGTGTAAACAGACATGGTTTCGTTTCTCAAATGTGCGAAGGTCTCCGGCAACCCGAAAAGATCAGGGACAAACGGGCCAACCTCAAACGTGGAAACACAGCGTGAATATGAAAAGACGCTCGCTCGCTCTGACAGAGAGAAGAACGCAAATCGAAACCAAAACGAAACACCAAAGCTCAAGCGCTCGACCACGTCTGCCCCTGACGTGCAAAGCCGGAGGCCCTGTACGACCCTGGGGACGCGGGAGGGAGGCCCTGCGCGGCTCTGGGGACACGGGAACTGACCCTCCAGAAGAAAGCAGGCAGCACCTGAGAAACGCCAAGACCGGGCACGGTTCTCACAGGGCTCCGCCGCTTGTCCGAAGCTGGGGTTGTAGAGAAAACCCCTCTTTGTAAAGACAAGTGTACCTAAATGTTTACTGCGACGTTTGTACCTGCCCCTAACAGAAGCAGCCAGGACGTGCATAAGCCGGAGGGGCTGACCACGTTTTCGTGTCTCCTTGTGATGGAAAAGCGCACACCTTTGAACAGGAGTCGGGTCTCTGGGTCTTGACTCGAAGGGTGATCTGTCACAGAATTAAATTAAAAAAGCCATTTGCAGCGTGATAGGTGTAGTGTCGCCACCTTTTGATACATTAAAAGTCCTGCAATTTGTTTGCTACACGTGACAGCCAGAGGGAGCAGCCGTGGGCCAACCTGCTCTCACCTCGGGGAGCACAGACAGCTGGCTGTCCGGGTCCAGGTTTGCGTGTCTGACTTTGGCCCCCAGGTGTCTAATGCTCTTAGGATTTGAAAGAAAGTTCTGGAAGTTCAGGGCAGTCACCCTGGCATTAACCGAGTGGCCACTCAGGGCTTACGCCCAGTGCAGCTCCCACCGATGTCCCCAGGACAGAGCCAGGATGCTGCACCTGGACAGGAGAGAGTGCGTGGTGTGGAGCAAAGTCTGGAGCCAAGATCCCAGGCCCCGTGGCCACCTGGCCAGGACCCCTCCCCCGCCGAGCCCCCACCTCTTCTGCATCAGCAACTGGGTCATATCTGCCCCGCCAGCCAGGTGTGAGGGGGGACAGGGCTGTTCCGAGGACCACAAGAGACAGAAGGGTCCCTCCGGCCCCCTCCGAGACCCAGTCCTGGGCATCCGCTCTGTTACAAGCACCGGGCCTGCCCTCCAGGGGCCCCAGGCCTGCAGGGTGGAGGTGCCCGGCAGCGTGAGGCTGGCATGCCAGGATGGAGGAAGCTGTTGGTCTGTCGGGTTGGGCCGGAGCTGGTGGAGCTGCGTGGGGCGGGCGGTGGGAGGGTCGAGAAACACGTAAGGGCCAAGGCCACCGGCCGTTCAGAGTGGGAGGCTTGTCATTAGAAGGCTCCGGAGCGATCACCCCCTCCAGACACCCCAACCCCCTGCCCTGGGCCACGGCAGGGCAGCCAGGCTGGGCGGAGGGCAGGAGAGCAGGGAGGCGTGCCTGGGAGGGCACGGGGCAGAGCCGCGGCGCACGGGGCGGAGGGTGCTCAGCCGGTCAAGCGAGCAAGCCTGGCGGAGGCCGGCGCCGAAGGCAGAGGCCGGCGGAGGCCGGCGGAGACGCCGACAGCAGGCGGGCACAGCGCATCGTCCGGTTCCGCGCCATTCTGTCAGCTCTTAAGGAGGAGGGACGTGAGAAGGGGTCATCAGGACGGCTGCCTTCCTTCCGAGGACTGCCGAGGGCACTGGGCACTGGGCTCAGCGCCGAACCCGCCCGCACTCCACCCGAGCACTGCGTGACAGACCCCCCCACCCGGGAGCGGGACATGAGTGTGTCACTCCGAACGGGCCGCCGAGAGGGCGGGTCGCTGGAGGATGGACGATGGGCGTGAAAAGTGACCCGCAGACTCTTGGAGCCACACTCTGGCCCCGGCGAGCTCCCACCTGATGACATCCACAGCCTCAGCGCCGCAGGCTCAGAAACGCACGTGTATGGGTCAGCGAGAGCGGACCCAGCAGCCGCACCGGGCCAGCTTTGGACGGCTGACCCCAGAACCAGAATGTCAGCGGACCGACTCGCCCTGAGAGCTGGAGCAGCAGGCGCCCCGTGCAGAGGCGCTGGCTCCGCGCCCGAGTCCCACGCGGGAGGCGTCATCAGGAGGCGTCTGGGAGACGCAGGTCGGGAGCGGGACCCCGGGTGGGACGGACCGAGCTGTCGGGGCGCCGCCTCGTCGGTAGCTGGGAGTCTCGCGCTGCGCCTGATATACGACTGAAACTCTCCCACGGGCGTGTGTGTAGAGGGACAACACGGCCCACGCGGGGTCCGGTGCTGTCCCTGCTCTCGGGCGTCCACCGGGGCCCTGAGCCGTGTCCCCATGGACGGGGGCGGGGCTGCCGCGGACTCCCGCAGCGGACTCACGCCTGGATTTCTGGGGCGCTCTCCCGCCATGCCATGGGTTTGTGAGTTTCTGTGCTTCGTGTACTTTTCATTACATTTCAGCTTGCGACTCACGTGTTCTTCGCGCGTCATCGCGTTTGCCCGTT